CCAAGAAATGCCATAAAAAGAATTTGAGAACAAAATCACAGGAATAAAACGCAGGGAATGTAATGCCAGATGGCAAAATGCAAACTAATACAGGTTAAACACAAGGAAATAGTCAAAATAACAAAATGCAACTTGATCAGTATACCACGTGGACAAAGTAACAAATAAATAATAAAATGTAAGACAGAAAACATATATACAACTGTAGACTGTTGTACTTGATACAAAGGAAAGGGTGAAGCAAGAAAGAGGGAGGAGAAAGGGTGGGGGAAAGCATGGGAAAGTGAGAGCAAGGTCTCTCTTACTCCTCACTGTCACTGATACTCATTACTTAAGAATTTACTTTAAATGGTTCCAACATGCATCCTGTCATGTGCAGTTGCTACTTACAGAGCAAGTCTGAGTATCTCTTGTGTACACCTATCTTAAAAATCCAATTCTTTTAGTTAAGTTTGAAGTGTAAATATATTATACACAATTTTACACAATAACTGTTGCTTTTTATGGTAGTAGGTTGGTAGACAGCAACCACCCAGGGAGGTACTACCGTCCTGCCAAGTGAGTGTAAAACAAAAGCCTGTAATTGTTTTACATGATGGTAGGATTGCTGATGTCTTTTGTCTGTCTCATAAATATGCAAGATTACAGGTACATCTTGCTACTTCTACTTACACTTAGGTCACACTACACATACATATACACATTTATTCATACACACTCATCTGAGTTTTCTTTGATTTTATCTTAATAGTTCTTGGTCTTATTAATTTTCCTTTATATCCATGGGGAAGTGGAATAAGAATCTTTCCTCCGTAAGCCATGCGTGTTGTAAAAGTCAACTAAAATGCCGGGAACAATGGGCTAGTAACCCCTTTTCCTGTAAAGATTACTAAAAAGAATAAGAAGAAGAAATTGTCAAAGTGGGAAGTCTGAATGTGCGTGGATGTTGTGCAGATGATAAGAAAGAGATGATTGTGGATGTTATGAATGAGAAGAAGCTGGATGTCCTGGCTTTAAGTGAAACAAAGCTGAAGGGGGTGGGAGAGTTTCAGTGGAGAGGAATAAATGGGATTAGGTCAGGGGTTTCAAATAGAGTTAGAGCTAAAGAAGGAGTAGCAATAATGTTGAAGGATAAGCTATGGCAGGAAAAGAGGGACTATAAATGTATTAATTCAAGGATTATGTGGAGTAAAATAAAGATTGGATGTGAAAAGTGGGTTATAATAAGCGTGTATGCACCTGGAGAAGAGAGAAGTGTAGAGGGAGAGAGAGATTTTGGGAAATGTTGAGTGAATGCGTGGGGAGTTTTGAATCAAGTGTGAGAGTAATGGTGGTTGGGGATTTCAATGCTAAAGTGGGTAAAAATGTTATGGAGGGAGTAGTAGGTAAATTTGGGGTGCCAGGGGTAAATGTAAATGGGGAGCCTTTAATTGAGCTATGTGTAGAAAGAAATTTGGTAATAAGTAATACATATTTTATGAAAAAGAGGATAAATAAATATACAAGGTATGATGTAGCACGTAATGAAAGTAGTTTATTAGATTATGTATTGGTGGATAAAAGGTTGATGGGTAGGCTCCAGGATGTACATGTTTATAGAGGGGCAACTGATATATCGGATCATTATTTAGTTGTAGCTACAGTTAGAGTAAGAGGTAGATGGGAAAAGAGGAAGGTGGCAACAACAAGTAAGAGGGAGGTGAAAGTGTATAAACTAAGGGAGGAGGAAGTTCGGGCGAGATATAAGCGACTATTGGCAGAGAGGTGGGATAGTGCAAAGATGAGTAATGGGGGGGTTGAAGAGGGTTGGAATAGTTTTAAAAATGCAGTATTAGAATGTGGGGCAGAAGTTTGTGGTTATAGGAGGGTGGGTGCAGGAGGAAAGAGGAGTGATTGGTGGAATGATGAAGTAAAGGGTGTGATAAAAGAGAAAAAGGTAGCTTATGAGAGGTTTTTACAAAGCAGAAGTGTTATAAGAAGAGCAGAATATATGGAGAGTAAAAGAAAGGTAAAGAGAGTGGTGAGAGAGTGCAAAAGGAGAGCAGATGATAGAGTGGGAGAGGCACTGTCAAGAAATTTTAATGAAAATAAGAAAAAATTTTGGAGTGAGTTAAACAAGTTAAGAAAGCCAAGGGAAAATATGGATTTGTCAGTTAAAAACAGAGTAGGGGAGTTAGTAGATGGGGAGATGGAGGTATTAGGTAGATGGCGAGAATATTTTGAGGAACTTTTAAATGTTAAGGAAGAAACAGAGGCAGTAATTTCATGCACTGGTCAGGGAGGTATACCATCTTTTAGGAGTGAAGAAGAGCAGAATGTAAGTGTGGGGGAGGTACGTGAGGCATTACGTAAAATGAAAGGGGGTAAAGCAGCTGGTACTGATGGGATCATGACAGAAATGTTAAAAGCAGGGGGGGATATAGTGTTGGAGTGGTTGGTACTTTTGTTCAATAAATGTATGAAAGAGGGGAAGGTACCTAGAGATTGGCGGAGAGCATGTATAGTCCCTTTATATAAAGGGAAAGGGGACAAAAGAGACTGTAAAAATTATAGAGGAATAAGCTTACTGAGTATACCAGGAAAAGTGTACGGTAGGGTTATAATTGAAAGAATTAGAGGTAAGACAGAATGTAGGATTGCGGATGAGCAAGGGGGTTTCAGAGTGGGTAGGGGATGTGTAGATCAAGTGTTTACATTGAAGCATATATGTGAACAGTATTTAGATAAAGGTAGGGAAGTTTTTATTGCATTTATGGATTTAGAAAAGGCATATGATAGAGTGGATAGAGGAGCAATGTGGCAGATGTTGCAAGTATATGGAATAGGTGGTAAGTTATTAAATGCTGTAAAGAGTTTTTATGAAGATAGTGAGGCTCAGGTTAGGGTGTGTAGAAGAGAGGGAGACTATTTCCCGGTAAAAGTAGGTCTTAGACAGGGATGTGTAATGTCACCATGGTTGTTTAATATATTTATAGATGGGGTTGTTAAGGAAGTAAATGCTAGGGTTTTTGGGGAGAGGGGTGGGATTAAATTATGGGGAATCAAATTCAAAATGGGAATTGACACAGTTACTTTTTGCTGATGATACTGTGCTTATGGGAGATTCTAAAGAAAAATTGCAAAGGTTAGTGGATGAGTTTGGAAATGTGTGTAAAGGTAGAAAGTTGAAAGTGAACATAAAAAAAGAGTAAGGTGATGAGGGTGTCAAATGATTTAGATAAAGAAAAATTGGATATCAAATTGGGGAGGAGGGGTATGGAAGAAGTGAATGTTTCAGATACTTGGGGAGTTGACGTGTCGGCGGATGGATTTATGAAGGATGAGGTTAATCATAGAATTGATGAGGGAAAAAAGGTGAGTGGTGCGTTGAGGTATATGTGGAGTCAAAAAACGTTATCTATGGAGGCAAAGAAGGGAATGTATGAAAGTATAGTAGTACCAACACTCTTATATGGGTGTGAAGCTTGGGTGGTAAATGCAGCAGCGAGGGGAGACGGTTGGAGGCAGTGGAGATGTCCTGTTTAAGGGCAATGTGTGGTGTAAATATTATGCAGAAAATTCGGAGTGTGGAAATTAGGAGAAGGTGTGGAGTTAATAAAAGTATTAGTCAGAGGGCAGAAGAGGGGTTGTTGAGGTGGTTTGGTCATTTAGAGAGAATGGATCAAAGTAGAATGACATGGAAAGCATATAAAATCTATAGGGGAAGGAAGGCGGGGTAGGGGTCGTCCTCGAAAGGGTTGGAGAGAGGGGGTAAAGGAGGTTTTGTGGGCAAGGGGCTTGGACTTCCAGCAAGCGTGCGTGAGCGTGTTAGATAGGAGTGAATGGAGACGAATGGTACTTGGGACCTGACGATCTGTTGGAGTGTGAGCAGGGTAATATTTAGTGAAGGGATTCAGGGAAACCGGTTATTTTCATATAGTCGGACTTGAGTCCTGGAAATGGGAAGTACAGTGCCTGCACTTTAAAGGAGGGGTTTGGGATATTGGCAGTTTGGAGGGATATGTTGTGTATCTTTATATGTGTATGCTTCTAGACTGTTGTATTCTGAGCACCTCTGCAAAAACAGTGATAATGTGCAAGTGTGGTGAAAGTGTTGAATGATGATGAAAGTATTTTCTTTTTGGGGATTTTTTCTTTCTTTTTTGGGTCACCCTGCCTCGGTGGGAGACGGCCGACTTGTTGAAAAAAAAAAAAAAAAAAAAAAAAAAACTGTTGCTTTTAAGGTAAGTATTATCAACCAAGTTGAACAATAAATTTCAAAAGGTGCAAACAATTAGCTTGATAACAAATATCAGAACATTCTGATTTGCCAACTTATGGACAATAATCATGATACTTTTCTTAAGAAAAACAAAAAACTGCTGTTTTATAAAAAGGTAATTTGTGAACAAAGCTACTGATTGTAAACGTTAAAAAATTTAAATTTACAACCAGTTATATATACACCTTATAATTATTATTATTCTGAATCTGAACTGGAATATTAAATACTATTGTACAGTATATACACAGTGTCAGAGAGCAACATATTCAAGTAGTATATGACATTATCTCGAGGCAGAGACCAATAGCTTCTTCAAAGATGCAATTATTTTTCATACAAGTGCTGATGTTTTACATAGCTGTAATTTAGTGCTACAGCTATATGCCAGATTACCAAGTAGTATCTATGAAAAATCGTAGAGTATTACATGTAAAACATATCTTGCCATCATGTACTGTATTTTGGTCAGTAATTATCCATTTGTTTGTAACTGCTGTCACTGAAATTTAATTATTTTTTAAAAAGAATTAATAAATGCTAAGAATACCTAGCTCTTCTAACGTTGCCAAGCGCAAATGTGATTTCAATGATGATTTTCTCTGGTTAAATAGGTCATCTTGCTGCATGACTCTTGTGATTTTAGAACTTAGTTTTGATTGTAATAATAATAATAAAAGTCATCTGCTGGAAGGAGCAAATTCATTGAACACACTTCAAGAAAATGGAAATTACTACAAACTCAACAAACATTTATTACATTTCCACATTTCTATCTGAATTAATGCACTTTTCAAAAATACTCTGCATAAGATTTATATACATAATCTCATTTCAATAAAAGGTACACATCCTTGGTAAGCAAAATAACCATTAGCCTAAGTAACAAATTATATTACAAAGTACATATCTATAACCCCATATTAGTTCCATTTATACAAGCTAATTTTCAGCTTACATTTCTCAGTATGGTTTCTTAGGGTGCATTCAGGGTTTTAGAGAAAACAAAATTAACAATTATTAACAGCAATATAGAAACTATAAAATCAACAAAAACTCTAATATCTTGGCTCATGATGGAAGAAATTTGGCTCACTGAGTGCATCACAAAGGACTTTTACCTCATAACACCCACATATTTCAGTTAAACAACTCTTATTTACCTCTTACCACAAGTATAAACACCTACTCATAATCCACAACTAAATTCAGACCAATTGCAGTGTAACATTCCTTCTTTCTTTCAACAAACCGGCCATATCCCACCGAGGCGGGGTGGCCCTAAAGGAAAAACAAAAGTTTCTCCTTTTACATTTAGTAATATATACAGGAGAAGAGGTTACTAGCCCCTTGCTCCCGGCATTTTAGTCGCCTCTTACAACACGCATGGCTTATGGAGGAAGAATTCTGTTCCACTTCCCCATGGAGATAAGAGGAAATAAACAAGAATAAGAACTAGAAAGAAAATAGAAGAAAACCCAGAGGGGTGTGTATATATGTGCTTGTACATGTATGTGTAATGTGACCTAAGTGTAAGTAGAAGTAGCAAGACATACCTGAAATCTTGCATGTTTATGAGACAGAAAAAAGGACACCAGCAATCCTCCATCACGTAAAACAATTACAGGCTTTCGTTTCACACTCATTTGGCAGGATGGTAGTACCCCCCTGGGTGGTTGCTGTCTACCAACCTTCTACCTACAATAACATTCCTATTAAGAACAATATTTTATGGTGCCCTGTAAGCAAAATATTTAAATTTCAATCCAATACATAATCACAATGATTTTTGTATCTCTTAAGCTATAACCTGTAATTTTCCCAAGATCTTTGCCTCCTTCAACATCTGACTATATAATATATTCAAATTTCTAGGTCTGTTTATGTAATGGCAATAGGGAAACTGGATCACGCCCTTCTAAACGTGCCAGATCAACCAAAATGAGATGGCTATGTATCCTGTGGGTTGCTAACAGCAACAGCCTAGTTGGCTAGGCAATCATCAATGGAGACTGGCTTTGGCACAGACTTAGAGTTGAATTCAACAAGCTGGTCACAGGTATGTCTCACTAGGCAAAGACTGTGATTATGTGTGAATGATGGTGAAAGTTTCTTTTTGGGTCACCCTGCCTCGGTGGGAGACGGCCAACGTGTTGGGAAAAAAGAAAATTAAAGCTGCTCGAAAATCAGAGAAACGTAGCATACCTTAGTGTTATTGCTTGATAAAGTAAAAATTAATACTAAATGGCATTTCATAAAGCTGCAAGGAAAGCAATTTCAAAAGGATAAACCTACGCAATTGGCTCTGTGCAGAAAACAAGTACGTATGCAGGCATACACATAGGCTCACCTTGGTGGTTCTCTTGACAGTTTGATTCTAGGGAATAAAAACTACACTTTTCCCCCATTTTATATGGATTTGCTTATATGCAGCAACCCTATTTTATCAGGAGCTGTCTATAAAGAAAAAAATTCACTGTTGTGTGACAGGCACAGAAGGTTCCTGTGAGATTTTTGCACTTGTGTGACCACCCTAGCCCAGCACCACAAATTTTTAAAAGCTGCATATCTTAAAATTTCACTCTAAACTGGTTTAAATGACATTCACAAGAAATACTTTTCAGTAAGAAAAATTAAGGTGTGGTAAGTTCAATTAGAACATTCTTAATGAAATCCTGTGGTTACAATTAGTCAAGTAAAAAATGAAACTCAAAATTCATTTACTTTTTTGTATATGCCCATTTGGTGAATATCTGGTATTTTTTTTTTTTAAGTCAAGAAATGTGGATTGTTTTTTCCAATTTTGTATCATACAGGGACTATGACTGAATCTTGGATTTTATTTTTTCTTGGCTACTTTTGACCAAATTTTATTTTTATACTGGCTGTTTGGAGTGACATCTAAACTGTCATGTCTGGGCACCTCTGCAAAGACAGTGATTATGTGTGAATGATGGTGAAAGATTTTTTCTTTTTTGGGTCACCCTGCCTTGGTGGGAGATGGCCGTGTTAAAAAAAAAAAAAAAAAGACCATACGGTGCATGTTTGGCAAGCTCATATATTTTTAGTAAACATTTGTCAAGAAATGGAAATTGCAAAGTCTGAGAACAAATACACATTGTACACGTTATAATGGGTTCACTTGGTGCTATCAGCCTGGAACACATCTGTCACAAAAGTGAGACACACCTGTACCACATTAATAACCAAAACAGAAATGAACAAGATGCAATTTTAATCTTGAAAAATAAGAAGATTAATAAAAGATCAGATAATGGTCAGGAGACTAAAAAGGAGGAAAAATGTCAATAGCATGACTAGGGTAAATATATTGTAGATGAAATGTGAACACAAAATGTATGGTTAAATTGGCTGTTGAATAAATGCCACATTCATAACATACACCCTTAGTATTAATCCTAACAAAAAGTGGAAAAGTAACTATGTACTTCACAAAATGTTGCCATTCCTAAGTGCTTTCTGAAAATCCTGGGTCATCACATGCAATCACGACTGTGGAGACGCTTGTGGCTTTAGTGCTTAGTTATGATTATAATAATAATTATCTTAAACTATGGAGGAAAAAAAACAGTTAACTGTATTGTAATCCCTATGGTGAGAGCATTGCTCACTGATCACCATCTTAATTAAATTTGACTTGTGATACCTGTTCCATAGTGACAGACATGAAGAACTTCATCATAAACTAGCACAAAATATATAGTATTTCTGAAGTCTTATTATACTCATCATTGCTGCTCATGTTACAGTCTAAATATCAAGACTATTAATACACATGTAACAGTGTCACAACAAGCTTCCATTATCAAACATTACCAATGACTTGGTCAATTCTGAAATGCTCATTTCTAACAGACATAGATCTACAATATTACTGTACTATGAACTGACACATCAGCCAACTAAATGGCATATAGCAACTGGAGTGCAGTGTTTGTAAAGTGTTAAAATAACTTGACAATGACTGGGTCAATTTAACAAGTTAGTCTGAACATACTGATTCAGTCATTAATAACTAATTATTTAAGTCTGTTCTCTTTGAGCAATCAAGCCAAATGGAACAATCGTGTATGAATTTTATGCTTTAATGCAGTCAAATGTTGCTTGAATTAACATTTTAAGTGCTAAAATTTCTACTGGCACAATGCATTTTGAAACCATGCTTCTATTATAACAGACCAAGTGTACCCAACAATAAAATTACCTTAGAATATGTACAGTGTGCCACTTGCTAGTATTGCTCAGTGAATGTATCCCACGACTTAAATGCACCACACGAGTATGACTCTCCAGTCTGCATTGGAGTTGCTGAGAAATCTGCATTCAAAGTTAGGCCAAATGCAGTTTCTTTCGCATAGCTGCAGCACTGAAAAAATATTAGTAAAACCGAACTGACTAACACACATTCTTATGCATCATTCATGACATAGACATAAACTGATTTAATGTGTCGGTAACCCGTAGAGGTTCTGTGAGTTCATTAAAGGGTGACGTTTGTGTTTCCTGGGCTTCATCTCGTAGAAGTTTCCAATATGCCAAAATGTTTTGGTACTTGATGCACTTCTCCACATTTCCCTCAATGCTGTACACACGTAGTAAGCCCCGATAGTCATACTCAAGACCAGAGTAGCCTTCTCCAAAGAGCTTCTTGCCTGTTGGTGGTTAGAACATGAGAAAGTATTCATAATTATCAACATTAATTTATGATTACATAGAAAAATCGTGGTAAACTTTAATAAACTCAAAAGCAATGTCTTCAAAGAATAAAAAGACACAATACCATGACTAACAATACACAAATGACCCTTACATAGAAGAAAGAAACTTATGATGATGTTTCAGTCTACCCAGCCTTCCTTCCACTACAGATTTATACACTCTTGAAGTCATTCTATGCCGTTCCATCCTCTCTACATGTCCAAACCATCAGCCCTCTGGATAATAGTTTTGGTAATCCCGCACCTCCTAATCTCCAAACTAAGGATTCTCTGCATTTTATTCACACCACACATTGCCCTCAGACATGACATCTCCATTGCCTCCAGCCTTCTCCTTGTTGCAACATTCACCACCCATGCCTCACACCCATACAAGAGTGTTGGTATAACTATACTCTCAAATATTCCCCACTCTGTTTTCATGGATAAAGTTCTTTGTCTGCACAGAATCCTCAGTGCACCACTCACCTTTTTTCCCTCGTCAATTCTATGATTCACCTCATCTTTCACAGACCCATCTGCTGACATGTCCAATCCCAAATATCCAAATACATTCACCTCCTTCATACTCTCTCCTTCCAATCTGATATCCAATCATTCGTTACCTAATTTTTTTGTTATCCTCATCACCTTACTCTTTCTTATATTCACTTTTAATTTCCCTTTTTACATAGCCTACCAAACTCATCCACCAATCTCTGCAACTTCTCTTCAGAATCTCCCAAAAACAGTGTCATCAGCAAAGAGCAACTGTGACAACTCCAAATTTGTGTTAGTCTCTTTATCTATAATTATAGAACCAAAATGCTGTTACTGTTCTTATTTAGCCCCTCAAGGAGGTTCCTTGATGCTGGTGAGGGGCTCTTGATCTAGGGAAGTGGATCTGTGCTCCAATTCCCTAAATTGAGCCTGAATACCTTCCATCCCCCCCCCATGCACTGTATAATCCTACGGGTTTAGCGCTTCCCTGAGATTATAATAATAATAATGTTCTTATTTAGTATTTATGCCAGTATGTTTGCTCTTACTATTGAATGCAGTCAACTAATATTGTATATGTTATTTTTATAATATATATTTTTGTCTTGCTGATAAAAATATTCATATCACAATATGTTTTGGAAGGAATTATTACTCCTTGCATTTTTTGTGCTGTCATATTTTACAAAACCCTGTATAAAGAGAAAGATACTGTACTAAACAACTAAATGGTTATATATTTTTATTATTAACACATCAGCCGTCTCCCACTAAGGCAGGGTGGCCCAAAACAGAAAAACTTTCACCATCATTCACTCCACTGTTTTGCCAGAGGTGTGCTTACAGTACATGTGACCAGAAAAACTTCACAACCCACAAACCAAAAGCAACTCTTTAGACAATGATGAAACTCGATCACTACACAACTCACCAATGGAAATGGATCTGAGATACAATTGCTCTGCTTTTTCAAACTTAATCATATCATAGTTGTAGAGGGAGGCAAGGTGACCCACTGACAGTGCTACCTCGTAGTCCTCAGGCCCAAGAAGCTGTTCCTTGATCATGATTGCTTTTAAGTGCATCTCCTCCGCTAACTGTAATAGAATAGAAAAAATCCATTCTTGTTGCATTTCTGCTTATCAAATATTCACTTATGAAATTTCATGAGGAATTTCAGTTACCAAATATTCCATATTCATTAACTTTTTTCAACAATTCAGCAAAAATTACTTTATGAATAACACAAAAACTGAGAAGACTGATAACAGACTAATAATGAACTGCAAAAGTCTGAAAATGTATAAAAATTCTACACCAAGTTGTAAAAAATGCAAATATTCTTCCATATCAGATTTCTATAAGAATCACCACAAACAGATCAATCTGCTTATTTTATTTACCCAAAATAAACCTTCCTGTTTCTCATTCCAAACAAGTCTCTTCTGTCAACTCGAGCCACTATGTTTGATGGCTTAAACATTTGATACTGTTAAGTTATTGTCCCAAAGAGGCCCTTATATACATCACCCCACACATGCCATGCTGGGTATTTATCATTCAATGCATCATTCTATCAAACCAAAATGGCCACCTGCTACTTATCCATCTTAATCCCATTTCCCTCTATCCAACATATTCTTGCACAATTTTGCACATTCATCATCATGGCTCAACCTCCCATTTTCCTTGATTCAATCCATGTTCCTTATTCTCACTCTTTTTCTTCTTATTTTCACCTCTTTTTCAGATTACAAATGCAGAGGGAAAATTCATGTACCTTATTGTTCTTGACGATGATGATCCAAATGATTTAGCTATGTTAGGCAGAAACGTTTCATATATGTAACAAAAATCCTTAATCAGCATTACAAACAAAAAACTGTCAACAGAATAAAGATCCAAGGGATAAAAAAAAAAAAAAAAAGACTATAAATTGAATCAGTGGAGAAAACATTCAGATTGACCTTCATTTACACCTCCCCAAAAAACATGTACATCTAAGTGGCAATAGTGATGTCAGGGAGGTTTCATAAAATCTTGTCTAAAATTGTAAGCAAGTTTTTTTTTTTTTTTTTTCAACAAGTCGGCCATCTCCCACCGAGGCAGGGTGACCCAAAAAAGAAAGAAAATCCCCAAAAAGAAAATACTTTCATCATCATTCAACACTTTCACCACACTCACACATTATCACTGTTTTTGCAGAGGTGCTCAGAATACAACAGTTTAGAAACATATACGTATAAAGATACACAACATATCCCTCCAAACTGCCAATTTACACAAAATGACCTGCCCAAAGGAATGAAAAATTTATGAATATGTTTGTGCATGATGCAAAGATCATGCACAAAATAAGTAATAAAAATTACCATAAATCTCTACAAGAAAATACTTTGTTGATCAATTGAGCATATGGAGTGATAGATGGATAATGGAATTTAATATAGATTAAAGAATAAAAAGTCACAATGCTGTGACTGGAACAATACACAAATACCCGCACATAGGAGAATGAAACTTATGGCGACATTTCGGTCCAACTTGGACTAGTTAACCCCTTTCAGGGTGGGCCGTTGTACTACGGCTTTGAAGCACGGGTCGGTCCCATAGTACTCCACCATGAGTTCAGCTCACTCAGATAAGCTGTGAGTGGTAAATTTGGGCCAAGAGAGAGAATTGGTCTATGCAGTAAGAGTGCACCATGTAAAAAAATTCCTGCAGCAAGCAGTGCATAATGGGGAAAAAATTAGTGTTTTTGGTTTAAAACAGCAAGTTTGCAGTGTATTTTCATGTGGTTTTCATAGCTCTATTCTTTGTTTCTTGGTCTCACTTGCTAGAATGGAAGATATATTACAGAAATTGAGATAATTTTTATTGGTTTCAGGACTGAAAGTAGCTTGAAATTGAGCTCAAAGTAGCAGAAATATTAAATTATTGCAGATATTCCAAAGTACACAAATTACATCACTTGTCCAATATGCATCCAACTGGTTGGTCTAATATGTGTCCACAAATTCGCCGACGTTATTTATACAATTATTACAATAATACAGTAGTCTGCATAACAGTAAATCTTCTATTTTTTGTGTTTACCTGGAGTTTACCTGGAGAGAGTTCCGGGGATCAACGCCCCTGCGGCCCGGTCTGTGACCAGGCCTCTTGGTGGATCAGAGCCTGATCAACCAGGCTGTTACTGCTGGCTGCATGCAAACCAACGGACGAGCCACAGCCCTGCTGGTCAGGTACCGACTTTAGGTGCTTGTCCAGTGCCAGCTTGAAGACTGCCAGGGGTCTATTGGTAATCCCCCTTATGTATGCTGGGAGGCAGTTGAACAGTCTCAGGCCCCTGACACTTATTGTATGGTCTCTAAACGTGCTAGTGACACCCCTGCTTTTCATTGGGGGGATGTTGCATCGTCTGCCAAGTCTTTTGCTTTCGTAATGAGTGATTTTCGTGTGCAAGTTCGGTACTAGTCCCTCTAGGACTAGGACTAGAAAACAAGCGTAATATAGGAGAGACCTGGAGATGTAACTAATGAATAAAAGAAATATTTTTCAAGTGACAAAAATGTCTACACTGTTTGTTCTGGACCTTATTTTTAAATTGGCAATTTTTTAATTTTGTGTGAAATTAGCCAAATTACCAGTATCTGGTCACTTTGTTGGATAGCTGAAGTAGATAAATGGGCAGTTTCTTGTACTCAACCAGCAGAAGAAATAATAGCAAAATATGAGTTTAGATGACTGGAACAATGAAATTGGCTGAAAATAGGGCTCATAGTGGGGGAAATCACCTATGTGTAAATATTGCCAAGACCGCTAACCTACTGAGAATGTAATTCCTTAAGTTTCCATCAAATTTTGTACTTTTGGTTTCAGTACCTTCAGAAGAAGATTCTCTATCATTTCATAAGAAAATATAATTTTTTCTTTTATTTCTTCGCCCTTATGAGCAATTCTCAAAATAGGTTCTGACCCGGAAAGGGTTAATGGTCCAAGTCAGACCAAAACATTATCATAAGTTTAATTCTCCTATGTGTGGGTATTTGTGTGATGTTGATTATTGCTATGTAATGGATATGAGAGAAGGCAATATATACAATATGAAAATATAGTGTAGTAAAATATTTAGAGCATATGACCCAGAGGTCATCAGTGACAAGATAGGCACCAGAATACCTTATACGTAGATGAAATGGTAAAAAGTGGTTCATACTGTACGTTAGACCAAAATTAAAACACAATGGTATTGTTGGGTTTTTATCTAAAATTGCAAAATTTTAGATAAAATTATCAACTATCCAATAAAGTGCTTCCAGAACTCAAGAATTATGAATTATGAGGAAAGACTGAAAACACAAAAAATACCCATGTTAGATTGTAGGGAGAAAAAAAAGACACGATAATAATGTCAAAGAACACTACAGAGAAATAGAAATGACCACAAGCACAGCTCTGCCCAGTAACTATAAATATGTATGTAATCCCACAAATGGTACAACTGATAACCATACTCGTCAATCAAAATACTGTCCCGAGGGGTAAAAATCAGTATTAAGCAATGAACAGTTACCTGAAAGAGACGCATTGACTGGTAAAGTCGGCCCAAGTTACCATAGTGCTTAGCAGTTTGGACATTCATCTCACCAAAGGCACGCATTGCCATTGCTAATGCCTCCTTGTGCAGTGAGTGTGCTTCAGCAAGGTACTTCTTTTCTGTGGAAAGATTTATATTTTTAACATAATTAGTACAAGCTTTCTGCGCGAACATCAAACATGAAAGACAGGGCAAACAAATGTGCATGCACACAAACTAATCACACAGCTAATGGGAACACTCACTGTAACCATGGTTTTAAGTTTTTTTTTTTTTGTTTTTTTTTTTGCTTTTTTTTTTTTTTTTTTTTTAACAAGTCGGCCGTCTCCCACCGAGGCAGGGTAACCCAAAAAGAAAGAAAAATCCCCCCAAAAAATTCTTTCATCATCATTCAACACTTTCACCTCACTCACACATAATCACTGTTTTTGCAGAGGTGCTCAGAACACAACAGTTTAGAAGCATATACGTATAAAGATACACAATACATAAAATACTGAAAAATACTGAAATGTGTATGGGTTACTTACCTTACCTAATACATATTTCATAGAATTACCCTTCCTCTTGATGTACTCTTTGCATCTCCTGGAAACTGACAAAACTAAAGTATGGAAGACAGAGTCAGTACCTTCCCACACCTGCTTAATGACAATCTATAGTGGACATGTCCATGCATGAAGCTCAACACTTAATAAGGTTCCACATGATGATTAAAACACATGTGCAACAGTTGGGTTTCTTTATTGTTGAAATGTTTTGCCTACACAGTAGGCATCCTCAGAGGCAGCAAGTGTAGTAGTGAAATGAAGATAATATAATCAGTCCATCAACCTTGGAGCTGAGGAGTTCAGCTTCATGGAGCTGAACTCTTCTCCAAGATGAGGGACTGACCACCTCAAATACTATTTCTCCAAAGTTGATGGACTGATTACATCATTTTCATTTCACTACTGTGCCTATTGCCTCTGTATATGACTGAAGAAGCCTACTGTGTAAGCAAAATGTTGCAACAATAAAGATACCCAACTGCTGCAAATTTGTCTTATCATCAATCTCTTTTTCTTCTTTCAACAAACCAGCCGCATCCCACTGAGGCGGGGTGGCCCCAAAAAGAAAAACAAAAGTTTCTCTTTTTAAATTTAGTAATTTATACAGGAGAAGGGGTTACTAGCCCCTTGCTCCTGGCATTTTAGTCGCCTCTTACAACACGCATGGCTTACAGAGGAAGAATTCTGTTCCACTTCCCCATGGAGATAAGAGTAAATGAACAAGAACTAGAAAGAAAATAGCAGAAAACCCAGAGGGGTGTGTGTATATGTATGCTTGTACATGTATGTGTAGTGTGACCTAAGTGTAAGTAGAAGTAGTAAGACATACCTGAAATCTTGCATATTTATGAGACAGACAAAAGACACAAGCAATCCTACCATACAGGCTTTCATTTCACACTCACTTAGCAGGATGGTAGTACCTCCCTAGGCAGTTGCTGTCTACCAACCTACTACCTATATATCATCAACCTGTCAGTATTTTATACCATTTTCAACACAAGGTTCCATACATTCTCTATCAAATTTAAATCTGGTGAGTTTACCAGGACAGTCATTAAGGAATAAAATTTTACAATAATTTAGCCACTCTTATGCCTTTGGCAGTATGGCATGGAACACTATCTTGCATACAAAAGTTGCCCTGGCACTTCTCAAAACTGTCACACAAATAGCCTGCTAGAGGCATACCTATGTATGTGCACATTTATGATGCCTACTGTATTTTTTTTTTCAACAAACCGGCCGTATCCCACCGAGGCAGGGTGGCCCAAAAAGAAAAACGAAAGTTTCTCTTTTTAAATTTAGTAATTTGTACGGGAGAAGGGGTTACTAGCCCCTTGCTCCTGGCAGTTTAGTCTCCTCTTACGACATGCATGGCTTACGGAGGAAGAATTCTTTTCCATTTCCCTATGGAGATAGGAGGAAAAAAAAAAGCAAGAACTATCAAGAAAATAGAAGAAAACCCAGAGGGGTATGTATATATATATATGTATGTACATGCACATGTAGTGTGACCTAAGTGTAAGCAGAAGTAACAAGATACACCTGTTATCCCCGTGTTTATGAGACAGAAAAAAAAAAAAAAACACCAGCAAACTTACCATCATGTAAAACAATTACAGGTTTCTGTTTCACACTCACTTGAAAGGATGGTAGTACCTCCTTGGGTGGTTGCTGTCTACCAACCTACTACCTAGGACTTGCATAAATACAGATATTCAAACCACACTGACAAAATAGTCTAACTATTTTAAGACATTATAATTCAGCAAAGTTTAATAATAAAAACAAAAACAAAGGTAATTACACTGAAGATTTAAATCAACACTTGAAGAAAGAGGAAAATAAAAGACAGTGAGGGATGCAGAAGCAAGCAATATATAGCTAGGTAAAACCATGAGAGCTTAAGAACAAGAAATTGTGCAATGGGTAAATTAAGAAAAAAAAAAAACACTTACGTACAGTTCAGGACATTTATTAGAGGAAATGTCTCACCATGAGTGGCTTCTTCAGTTGTAATGAAGGGCTAGAGGGGACACTCATGGTGAAACATCCTAAACTGTGCATAAATATTTCTATCCATATCTTGTCAGTATCACCATACCATTTCTCAAAGGGAAAATTATTATTTTCATGGTGAAGTGCCATACCTTCTGTGGGAATATACTGCCTGAGGAATGAAAGGTAACAGCAAATTATATCTTGCAAAATGTCATTGTTGGAACTCACCAACATCTTTACTAGGATTGTCAATAGCCATTTCTTCTAATATCAATGCTTTAACTCTCTTGCTTGAGGAGAGAAGAAGATGGTCTTCAGGAAGGAGGCGGAGCATCAGTTCAATAGCCCTTTCAGCATGTGTTCTGAAAAGCATACTTTATTTTAAAAGAAGAATTATCAAACCCTATTTTACTAATTTAAAATACAGTAAACCCTCCATATAACAGACTAATAGCCTGTCTTTTAAATCAAAATAATGTTAAAAAGTAACTCAAAAAAAGCAAAAGGTAAGCTATACCTAAAGTAGCTTTTTTTTTTTTTTTAACATGTTGCCATTTCCCATCATTATTCAACACTTTCACCAGCATTGTATACACAATTTACAGTTATATTGAAATAAAAGAAGTGCAATTTACACAGCAGATTTTGCCAAATATTTTAAAGTCCATTACATCGAGGTCCATTACATCAATGGTTTACTGCATTATTAACATAATTGTTACTATGAATCACATTTAAGTTCATGTTTACTACTGGTAGTTAGCTTTTGGAGACAACTTTAATAGTAACCCTAGTTATGGCTCTTAAGAAAAATGCAAGAGTTAGCAGTGGTGTCAACACTAGTCCACATCAATAAAAGATACAATAGAATCGCTGAAAAAATTGGACAGTGGTGTTTGTACACGCAAGCTGTCTGACATCAATAGTATTGGCTTGCCAACCGTTTATGACAAAGATGCAAAGAAAGCCAAATACTGAAATTCTATACAAGCGGACACCGCTTACACAGCAGGTTAGGTTCCAGGCTACTACTGTAAGACAAAAATTGCTGTCAAGTGAAACATTGCCATTTTTCACTTTCAAATGCATATAAAAGCCTGATAACACATTTACACTCTCATATATTAAGTGAGCAATAGAGCTAGGCCTAAAAAATGGATATATAATACACAGATTACTTACCTTAAAATATTTTCCTCCTTAGCGTATACATAATGAGTAGTGAATGTGTTTAACATAGGAAGTCTGAATAAACGAAGAATGGGTATGACTGAACACCGCTGTATTAGAGGAACATTGTAAAGCAAAGTGCTGTAAAGTGGGGGTCTGCTTATATAAAGAAGCAAATGAACATTAGAAAACTAAAATGTAGTTAAGAGTATTGAGCATGATCCAGTAAAATTCTAAAATTTATTACTTTGGGGGAGGTAGTACTGCAACATTTTTGGTAAGAATAATAACTAATAAACCTGTTTCATTTATACTAATGTTTAATTATATTTCTAACAGTCCAGGGTGCTTTAGATACATGGGAGGTGTAATTAGTTACTCAGGTGTACTGTTGGAGTATTATTATTACCGACTTCTGTTGGTCCAGCATAATCAATATTGCAACAAAGCCTTAGGAACCAAGGATGCTGGAAAATAAGTGTTCTACCAGTAATAATACTGTGATGAATAAAAAATGTAATAAAACAACAATAATAATAATAAATTATTAATCATTCAGCTCCCAAAACTTATTTCTCTTTTTTTTTTCATTTGTGAATACTGCACTACTCAATGAATGATGTTTGAGTATTACTTCAAGTACCTTGACAAATCAAGAGCTTCTTACCTGGCAGAGTATACAGTAATACAGTACAGAACTTTTAACACACAAATATGGGGATCTTAGTTCTTTTGAAGAGGATATTCCCAGTGATAGAATTTCTTCTCTATTATTTTAGTCATCTTTCATACCATGCTACAATATGAAAAAACTTCAAGGTCTTCTGAGCCTCAAATCAGCTTCCAAACAACAGCTGTTAACAAAATTACAAATGGCAAACTCATCTGATCAACTTACCTAGCATGAGTGAATTTTCCATAAGCATAATTATGGACATATGAGGCATATGCCAAGTCTTCATGAGCAATAGCTACATGTAGGTTTATGCCTCCAAACACACTATGACGAACATCTAACGCAGTCTGAAGCAAGAGAGTAAACATTTCAGAATCTTTCAAAGCCTAAATTCCATTAGAGACATCCAAAATCAAGAACAAATTTTTGCAGTCTATACATGTCTAACATCACTCACAACTAATCCACAAACTAAATATGAAACTCAGATGAAGTTTTGGTTTGCCCAGGACCATAATCAAGTTTTCAACTGGAATATCATCTATGTTTTATCTCTGATTTATGGGTTAGTTGTAAATTGTTCAAACCATGGTACTGTAATTTTTATTCGATGTACATTAAAAAAATACTGTGTAGCTTACCTGATATACTTGTACACCTTGACTTATGGCATCTACATTAAGGAGGTAAAAACCATAATCGATGAGTGTGTCTGCATACTTTGGATGCTTATCACCAAACACTTCAGTTGCAATCATAACAGCCTGGAAGAAATCCCAAATAATTAATACAAACATATACTACATGAAACACATAAGAGCTTTGCTTTTCCCATAATGAAATGTGTGTGGGGACAGGATTTTTTTTATACTGTGCACACTCATTGCACACACCCATTCTCTCATATCTAGGCCAAAATTTACTCACAGATTATCAGAGCAAGGTGAGCTCGTGACACAGAAATATGCAATGGACCCTGACCTCAATGACAGTTCTATGTGACAGCCACTGAAAGGGTTAAGTCTCATAAATAAGATGGTGATGTGCATAAAATGAAAAACAGTAACAGGAATGCAAAACATAATTCCATCAAATCTGGTGTTTAGCTTGTGCTGTTCCTAGTGCTGCACATTTATACAGCTCACACGAGTCCACTAATACCGTCTAAAACCTGGAAAGCCATCAAACCACAACAAATTCAGAAATGCATGTACAAAATACACAAAGTTGCTTAGTATCAGGAAATGCTCACCTGTTTAATTAGCAACCCAGCCTTCTTAAATTCTCGTTTTAGGACACATGCTTTTGCTGACTGTCTCAAGACATCAATGAGAGGTGGCTTCGGAAAGTTGGCAACCAACGCTTGCAGAGCTTTCACACTCCAACTGTATGCCTGGAAAAAAATTAACAAAAATATAAGTTGATTTATTAACCCCTTGACTGTCGCAACCCCCAATCCTGAGGTGTCTCCGGGTGTCGCAAAATTTAAAATGACACCAAAAAAACGAAATTTGATGGAAAACTGACGGAATTACGGTCTCGCGAAGTTAGTGACCTCGGCAATATTTACAAATCGGCGATTTCGCCCACTTTGAGCCCTATTTTCAGCTAATTCCGTTGTTCCAGTCGACCAAACTCATAGCTATTTCTTTAGAACTCCATTTTTTCTATCGATTGAGTACAAGAAACTGCCCATTTACCGATTTCAACTACCCAATAATGTGGTCAGAAATTTGCAATTTGGCCAATTTCATGAAAATTAAAAAATATGACAATTTCAAAATAAGGTCCAGAATGAACAATGCAGACATTCCTGGCTCTAAAATAACATTTTCTTTATTCATCAGTCATGTCTCCAGGCCCCTCTGATATTACTCTTGCTTTCTATTTTGAATTTTATTCAAACAAAAAATAGAAGACTTACTATTATGCAGACTACTGCAATACTGTAATTATTGTATAAATAACATCAACCCATTCATGACTGCATATTAGAATGGCTAGTTGGACATTTATTGGAAAATGACATCATTTGTTTACTTTTGAACATTGGCAAAAATCAAACATTTCCCCTACTTTGAGCTCCATTTCCAGGTTCTTTTTATAGTAAAATCAATCAAAATCAGCTCTATTTCTATAATATGTTTTCCATTCTATCAAATGAGACCAAGAAAACGAGAATACAACCATAAATACTATACGAAAATAGACCACAAAGTCGGCATTTTAATTAAAAAAAACGGTCGGAGTTTTTTTTTCTCATTATGCACTGCGTGCTTCAGGATTTTTTTTATATGGTGCACACTGACCACACAGGCCCATTATCTCACATGTGGGCCTACCAGCTTTCTCCTGCTTGATTTGAAGCCGCTAGAATTTATGAGTATATATACGTGAGCGTGTTTGATAGGAGTGAATGGAGACAAATGGTTTTTAATACTTGACGTGCTGTTGGAGTGTGAGCAAAGTAACATTTATGAAGGGGTTCAGGGAAACCGGCAGGCCGGACTTGAGTCCTGCAGATGGGAAGTACAGTGCCTGCACTCTGAAGGAGGGGTGTTAATGTTGCAGTTTAAAAACTGTAGTGTAAAGCACCCTTCTGGCAAGACAGTGATGGAGTGAATGATGGTTAAAGTTTTTCTTTTTCGAGCCACCCTGCCTTGGTGGGAATCGGCCAGTGTGATAATAAAAAAAATAAAAAAAATATACGTCAAACACGATACCACGTAAGACGTATATATACGGCCGCGACAGTCAAAGGGTTAATATGTACTTTATTTGTCTTTGATTAAACGGCTTGTTAACATGCAGATATTGTATTAATTTGATTATTATTTCCTGCTTTTTACAAATATGGGAAGTCTGTATAGCCATCAGCGAGTTAGGGAAAGCGCTTTTCTTTATGCACTCTCTTCTGCATACTTTCACTCATTTAGGCGAAAGAAAAAAAACATTCACAATATGCACTATTTCTTATAAATTTCTTCATAACAGATAAAAATTATGTTATCACACATTGCCTTTTAAATTCAAATTGAATGTTTGCAGTTGACTCAGGCTCCCAGGTGTATTAAGGAACAGGGTTTAGATTAAAAAGAATACTAGAATTCAATCATGATGTAAATGATTTCTTGTGGTTTTGTTGATTCAAGGATGCTGCAAGATTTTTTTTTTTACCAAATTGTCTATTTTTCACCAAAAAGAAATGCAATCATCATCACTTGCTTCCTAACTCTATTTTCAGAATTTTACAGATATCTTATAGCAGTGCTAACCAACTGAAAAATACCATTCACGTGTGACTTCTCAAGTGTATATACCTGGAGGGTGTTTTGGGAGTCAACACCCCCGCAGCTCAGTCTATGACCAGGCCTCGTGGTAGATTAGGGCCTAATTAACCAGTGTGTTACTGCTGGCTACATGCAAACCAACATACAAACCACAGCCTGGCTGGTCAGGTACTGACTTCAGGTGTCTGTCCAGCTCCTCCTTGAAGACAGCCAGGGGTCTATTGGTAATCCCCCCTTATGTATGCTGGGAGGCAGTTGAACAATCTTTGGGCCCCTAACACTTACTATATTATCTCTTAGTGTACTCATGGCACCCCTGCTTTTCATTGGGGGATGTTGCACTGCCTGCAGAATTTTTTGCTTTTGTAGAGTAATTTCCATGTGCAGATTTGGGACTAGTCCCTCTAGAATTTTCCAAGTGTATATTATCATGCATCTTTCTCGCCTGAATTCCAAGGAATACAAGTCAAGGAACTTCAATCATTCCCAGTAATTTAGGCACTTTATTGTACTTATACATGCAGTGAGAGTTCTTTGTATATCCCCCATGTCTGCAATTTCGTCTGCCTTGAAAGGGGCCGTTGGTATAGAGCAGTACTCCAGCCTAGAGAGAACATACTTTATACTGGTATATTACCTTGCTCACACTCCAACAGCACATCCAAATCCAAAAACCACTAGTTTAATAAAATATAGAATATGCCCTACTTGATATATAGATTAGATAGATAGAACGATGAATAAAAAAAGTGAATGCATTAAGTATAAACAATAAAAAATTAGCATATTTATTTATATTAATATAATCATAAGAAATCTCCATGGGAAAGTGGAACAGAATTCTTCCTCCATAAGCTATGCGTGTCGTAAGAGGCAAATAAAATGCCGGGAGCAAGGGACTAGTAACCCCTTCTCCTGCATATATTACTAAATTTAAAAGGAGAAACTTTTGTTTTTCCTTTTGGGCCACCCCGCCTCAGTGGGATACGGCTGGTGTGTTGAAAGAAAGAAGAATCATAAGGAAGTGAAAACATGTAAGGGGGGGATGAAAGGTGGTAATCAAATTTGACCCAAGAAAGGAAAGGGTAACTTCAATTCCTTCAATCAAAAGCCTTTAACCAACATCAAAGCACCTCCTGAAGTGTTTATCTATTCTAAAGAATGAAGATAACATGCTCACTTAAGACTGACCTCTGCATAGTTAGATCTAAGCATATACAGTGTAGAAAACTCTGAGTAGAGAGAGGCAAGGTTAGGAGATGCTCCTGCCTGTTGTAGCTGCCTGACCAGCTGCATCGCCTGGTTGTATGTTCGCTCGGCTTCCTCAAATCTACAGTACCCATTCTGTACATGAAGTAGTCTGCAAAAAAAGTTCTGTGTTATATGTTGAAATAATGTTATATTCATTTCCTATACTTTTTTTTTTAAAACACATTTTTAATACAAGGAAGGTTGTAAAAGTGAACAGGGTCCAAAGGATGAACTTTGCTTAGCTAGAAAATTAATTTTTAAATTAACTTTATGTTTTAATAGTTTTCATCTTTTTGCCTTCAGTTTTGTCTTTCCATTAGAAAAAACTAAATTCTATAAGATCCTCTCTTCACAAATTATAAGTAACAAACTTTTCTTTTAGTTTCCCTTTAGTAATGTCTCATGGAGACAAAAAAGACAAACCTGCTCACCTGTGGCAGCATTCAAGGGCTCGGGTCATTTGTTGGGGTTCAGTGGAGTTTGCAAGGAGACCCTGGCAGGAGGTCAAGATATTCTCAGCATCTGGGAGCCAGCCAGCTTCTGCTAAAAATGCTGACACTGCCAATCCTTGGATTACTAGGTTGTCTATTTGCTGAAAAACCGAAGTTTATTTAGATACAGGTCTACATAAGTACAATAATAATACATAGTAACGTGTGTATATTACCTAGGATAATCCAAAAAAGTCAGAAAAAGTGATTTATTTCCAATGGGGTCCTTGACAAGAAAATAAACATTTCTACATTATATGTATATGCTTTCTTATTCCTTATTTATGTTTTTTTATCTTATCTGTCTTCCATCCTTCAACTTCTTCACTAAAGAAAATCCTGTAATTTTCAGCACCTCAATTTGGTTTTGTAACATCAAGATGAAAATATTGAAAATGCTAATACAGGAAATAATTAGACAGAAGTAATGTTGAATGATCAGTTATGGAAGGAGAAAAGAGAATATGAATGTGTAAATTCAAGAATTATGTGGATTAAAGTAAAGGTTGGATGCGAGAAGTGGGTCATAATAAGTGTGTATGCACCTGGAGAAGAGAGGAATGCAGAGGAGAGAGAGAGATTTTGGGAGATGTTAAGTGAATGTATAGGAGCCATTGAACCAAGTGAGAGAGTAATTGTGGTAGGGGACCTGAATGCTAAAGTAGGAGAAACTTTTAGAGAGGGTGTGGTAGGTAAGTTTGGGGTGCCAGGTGTAAATGATAATGGGAGCCCTTTGATTGAACTTTGTATAGAAAGGGGTTTAGTTATAGGTAATACATATTTTAAGAAAAAGGGATAAATAAGTATACAAGATATGATGTAGGGCGAAATGACAGTAGTTTGTTGGATTATGTATTGGTAGATAAAAGACTGTTGAGTAGACTTCAGGATGTACATGTTTATAGAGGGGCCACAGATATATCAGATCACTTTCTAGTTGTAGCTACACTGAGAGTAAAAGGTAGATGGGATACAAGGAGAATAGAAGCATCAGGGAAGAGAGAGGTGAAGGTTTATAAACTAAAAGAGGAGGCAGTTAGGGTAAGATATAAACAGCTATTGGAGGATAGATGGACAAATGAGAGCATAGGCAATGGGGTCGAAGAGGTATGGGGTAGGTTTAAAAATGTAGTGTTAGAGTGTTCAGCAGAAGTTTGTGGTTACAGGAAAGTGGGTGCGGGAGGGAAGAGGAGCGATTGGTGGAATGATGATGTAAAGAGAGTAGTAAGGGAGAAAAAGTTAGCATATGAGAAGTTTTTACAAAGTAGAAGTGATGCAAGGAGAGAAGAGTATATGGAGAAAAAGAGAGAGGTTAAGAGAGTGGTGAAGCAATGTAAAAAGAGAGCAAATGAGAGAGTGGGTGAGATGTTATCAACAAATTTTGATGTAAATAAGAAAAAGTTTTGGAGTGAGAAACAAGTTAAGGAGCTAGAGAAAAGATTTGTCATTAAAAATAGGAGAGGAGAGTTATAAATGGAGAGTAGAGGTATATGGGAAGATGGAGGAATATTTTGAGAGATGTGTAATGTGATTTCGTGTAAGGGCAAGGAGGAATAAATCTGCAGGAGTGAGGAAGAGTCACAGTTTGTTGAAAATAAGAAAAAGTTTTGGAGTGAGATTAACAAGTTAAGGAAGCCTAGAGAACAAATGGATTTGTCAGTTAAAAATAGGAGAGGAGAGTTATTAAATGGAGAGTTAGAGGTATTGGGAAGATGGAGGGAATATTTTGAGGAATTGTTAAATGTGATTTCGTGTATAGGGCAAGGAGGAATAACATCTTGCAGGAGTGAGGAAGAGCCAGTTGTGAGTGTGGAGGAAGTTCTGAGGCAGTAGGTAAAATGAAAGGGGGTAAGGCAGCCGGGATTGATGGGATAAAGATAGAAATGTTAAAAGCGGGTGGGGATATAGTTTTGGAGTGGTTGGTGCAATTATTTAATAAATGTATGGAAGAGGGTAAGGTACCTAGGGATTGGCAGAGAGCATGCATAGTTCCTTTGTATAAAGGCAAAGGGGATAAAAGAGAGTGCAAAAATTATAGGGGGATAAGTCTGTTGAGTATACCTGGTAAAGTGTATGGTAGAGTTATTATTGAAAGAATGAAGAGTAAGACGGAGAATAGGATAGCAGATGAACAAGGAGGCTTTAGGAAAGGTAGGGGGTGTGTGGACCAGGTGTTTACAGTGAGACATATAAGTGAACAGTATTTAGATAAGGCTAAAGAGGTCTTTGTGGCATTTATGGATTTGGAAAAGGCGTATGACAGGGTGGATAGGGGGGCAATGTGGCAGATGTTGCAGGTGTATGGTGTAGGAGGTAGGTTACTGAAAGCAGTGAAGAGTTTTTACGAGGATAGTGAGGCTCAAGTTAGAGTATGTAGGAAAGAGGGAAATTATTTCCCAGTAAAAGTAGGCCTTAGACAAGGATGTGTGATGTCACCGTGGTTGTTTAATATATTTATAGATGGGGTTGTAAGAGAAGTGAATGCGAGGGTCTTGGCAGAGGCGTGGAGTTAAAAGATAAAGAATCACACACAAAGTGGGAGTTGTCACAGTTGCTCTTTGCTGATGACACTGTGCTCTTGGGAGATTCTGAAGAGAAGTTGCAGAGATTGGTGGATGAATTTGGTAGGGTGTGCAAAAGAAGAAAATTAAAGGTGAATACAGGAAAGAGTAAGGTTGTGAGGATAACAAAAATATTAGGTGATGAAAGACTGGATATCAGATTGGAGGGAGAGAGTATGGAGGAGGTGAATGTATTCAGATATTTGGGAGTGAACGTGTCAGCGGATGGGTCTATGAAAGATGAAGTGAATCATAGAACTGATGAGGGAAAAAGGGTGAGTGGTGCACTTAGGAGTCTGTGGAGACAAAGAACTTTGTCCTTGGAGGCAAAGAGGGGAATGTATGAGAGTATAGTTTTACCAACGCTCTTATATGGGTGTGAAGCATGGGTGATGAATGTTGCAGCGAGGAGAAGGCTGGAGGCAATGGAGATGTCATGTCTGAGGGCAATGTGTGGTGTGAATATAATGCAGAGAATTCGTAGTTTGGAAGTTAGGAGGAGGCGCGGGATTACCAAAACTGTTGTCCAGAGGGCTGAGGAAGGGTTGTTGAGGTGGTTCGGACATGTAGAGAGAATGGAGCGAAACAGAATGACTTCAAGAGTGTATCAGTCTGTAGTGGAAGGGAGGCGGGGGGGAGGGGTCGGCCTAGGAAAGGTTGGAGGGAGGGGGTAAAGGAGGTTTTGTTGTGCGAGGGGCTTGGACTTCCAGCAGGCATGCGTGAGCGTGTTTGATAGAGTGAATGGAGACAAATGGTTTTTAATACTTGACGTGCTGTTGGAGTGTGAGCAAAGTAACATTTATGAAGGGGTTCAGGGAAACCGGCAGGCCGGACTTGAGTCCTGGAGATGGGAAGTACAGTGCCTGCACTCTGAAGGAGGGGTGTTAATGTTGCAGTTTAAAAACTGTAGTGTAAAGCACCCTTCTGGCAAGACAGTGATGGAGTGAATGACGGTGAAAGTTTTTCTTTTTCGGGCCACCCTGCCTTGGTGGGAATCGGCCAGTGTGATAATAATTAGACAGAACAAAGAGGCATAAAAAATAAAATTCTCAACTTACTTGTTGATCCAGCATCAAGTCTTGATTGCATCTTTGAACATAAGCTTGGGCTAATAATGATGATATTTTGCTGCTGTGATCCCCTGGTGCCTGGTCCATCAAAGCCTGCAACACAACACATAAAAGTTCTCCACAGAATTAACAATTTTATTCCCATTTTATCCACGAACTACAATACGTTAGAAAGTAGGGCATGTGTATCAATGAACAATGAGAATAACTGTACATTAATGAGTACGTACTTGTAAGTACAGTATAGTAATGAGCCCTAAGAAGTGCAAAAATAAACATCAATTACATTAATGTATATCAATTAGCTTAACTTTGCCATGGAAACATTAAAATATAATACCATAGTACTGTCCATGGGAGCTTAATCTAAAAATACATAATAAACACTAATGAATACAACACTATACATGAAGTACAGTATAAAAAAAATAGGTATTTCAGGAGTTTTCAATATTGGAATGAGAATTTGACATATGAGAATGTGCATTCACTGCCATATACCTGGAAGCAGTGGTGCAGTAGGTGTCTCTTGTCGACCACCTTGAGCATCCTGGTGAGCACGTCCAGGCTGCACAGCTCCCCACGAAGCTCTGCCAGGCACCCATACTTGTACAGCTGAAAGAAACACATGTCATTGTACAGCTGGAGAAATACTGTAAGTTTATTCAGGTATAAGTACATGTAAATACAATAACACAAATTATCACACATAGCAGGACATGTGTAGATTACACAGTAAGTGCACACAGTAAGTGCCTGGAGTTTACCTGGAGAGAGTTCCGGGGGTCAACGCCCCCGCGGCCCGGTCTGTGACCAGGCCTCCTGGTGGATCAGAGCCTGATCAACCAGGCTGTTGCTGCTGGCTGCACGCAAACCAATGTACGAGCCACAGCCCGGCTGATCAGGAACTGACTTTAGGTGCTTGTCCAGTGCCAGCTTGAAGACTGCCAGGGGTCTGTTGGTAATCCCCCTTATGTGTGCTGGGAGGCACATTAAGTGCACAGTAAGTGCACACAGTAAGTGCACACAGTAAGTGCACACAGTAAGTGCACACAGTAAGTGCACACAGTAAGTGCACACAGTAAGTGCACACAGTAAGTACATACAGTAAGTGCACACAGTAAGTGCACACAGTAAGTACATACAGTAAGTGCACACAGTAAGTGCACACATGAAGATGGAACTTTCCCATGACAGTACCTTCATAAGCTTCATTCACATTTTTCCGTTTAGTTGAATATATACACAGTTTGCATAAAACAAATAATTACAGCCCTACAATGGTGATAAATTAATTATATAACTTTAGAAACCCCAAAAACCCCAATGGAAATAAGACATTTCGAGATTTTAAGATTAACCTCAGATAATTTACATATGTTACTATGTAAGACCACTGTAGTAATCATGTTAATACTTTGTAAAATTGTAATTAAGTAATCCTACTTAAAAGGCAAATTGCATAATTAATTCCCACTGGAAACACTCAAACTTAGTTAAGGCCAAAAACCCATTACATATTTTTTAATAGCATCCCTAGATGAGGTTAAATGCTCCTTTTGAGCTAAATATATGACGCAGATATTGCCATGGTAACCATTACCCACTGAAATGCTATGAATAAACGTAAAATAACCAGATGCGCAAAGCCAGAACATAAAAAAAAACCCAAGACGAGTCCCCCAGAAAACCTCACCTTATAAAGTACATCAAACTGGACAGAGGGAGGGAATATACGTAGTTCATGCCTGACACTGTTATAGTGCAGCACCACCACGTTAAGGGACGAGTTATATAGTGTCCCAGGGAACCATTTGAGGAAAGATGCAGAAGCCATTGTGATCTCACTACGGTGGTATCCCTCACACAGCTGATCAATGTCAACAATAAAATATTTCCATTACTTTCTTTCTTATTTGCTATATTATATATTACTCAACACCAAAATATATTTTGTATAATTTTTTAGCTTGCTCTGTGTGCATTCTGGTTGAGGTAAAGATGTTATTGGTGATTTAATGTCATCTCAAGACTATGATGAATCTCACAGTTAATGTCACCAAAGAAAATGAATTTTATGACTAACTATAAAATTTGATTCTTCAAGAATGTGGCATCCTGATGCTGGTAAAGGCCTCTTGATCCAAGGAATTTGAGCTTCTTTAAGGTACATATGCAACATCTGGGGTATTTTTATTTGTAAACCAGGTAAGATGAGGCAATCAATCCCTCAGCCTCCAAGGCTGAGGGATTGATTACCCCATCAATTGTATGTAGTTCTACCCTCATCATATTATATCCTTGTATTGTTTTCATAAAGCCACTGGTTGGAGAACGTCTGCAAATAAAGAGACCCTAGATTAAGTAAGTTTATTCAGGTATACACAAATACAGTTACATAGATTAAGTCTGCCCGAAATGTCTCGGCATGATTGATGCACCCCATACCCATCCTACGGGCGGCAGCTAAAAGATTACAGAGGTACATAATGGGTCCAGGGACTGGGCCCCAAAGTTTTGATAGATGAACAAGTTACAAAGGTAATGGACTTCAGGTAGATCTGGTCACAATCATGGCAAGTTACAAAGGTAACAGTGGCTTTCTTTGTTCCAATCAAATTATGAAATGTAAACACACATAAGTACGTAAGTTTATTCAGGTATACACAAATACAGTTACACAGATTATCATACATTGTAGCATATGTGTAGAGAACCTGGAGTTTACCTGGAGAGTGTTTCGGGGGTCAACGCCCCCGCGGCCCGGTCTGAGACCAAGCCTCTTCAGGTAAACCATGAGGCTTGGTCTCAGACCGGTCCGAGGGGCCGTTAACTCCCGAAACTCTCTCCAGGTAAACTCCAGATTCTCTACACATATGCTACTATGTATGATAATCTGGTGGATCAGAGTCTGATCAACCAGGCTGTTACTGCTGGCCACACGCAAGCTGGCATACGATCCACAGCCCGGTTGGCCAGGTACTGACTTTAGGTGCCTGTCCAGTGCCATCTTGAAGACAGCCAGGGATCATTGGTAATCCCCTAGGATAACCCAAAAAAGTCAGAGTGACTTACTTCCATTGGGGTCCTTTTATTTCCACATTATTTCCAGGCAATTATAACACTAAAGACAGTAGAAGTGGAGTCTGGTAATTCTCCTTTCCACCTGTCTGTATTGTATACCATTTATAGGAGGCAAATTATTCTTGTAGCCAGGCTTTCCCCACACAGACCCCTGGCAGTCTTCAAGCTGGCACTGGAAAAGCACCTAAAGTCGGTTCCCGACCAGCCGGGCTGTGGCTCGTACATTGGTTTGCGTGCAGCCAACAGTAACAGCCTGGTTGATCAGGCTCTGATCCACCAGGAGGCCTGGTCACAGACTGGGCCGCGGGGGCGTTGACCTCCGGAACTCTCTCCAGGTAAACTAGATAAGATTTATTGTACTGGAGGCAACCCTTGAAATAGGTCACTTTCGACTTTTTGGGGTTATTCTAGGTAATTAACACTATGTATAATAACTGTACTTATGTGTACCTGTTTACCTGGAGTTTACCTGGAGAGAGTTCCGGGGGTCAACGCCCCCGCGGCCCGGTCTGTGACCAGGCCTCCTGGTGGATCAGAGCCTGATCAACCAGGCTGTTGCTGCTGGCTGCACGCAAACCAACGTACGAGCCACAGCCCGGCTGATCAGGAACTGACTTTAGGTGCTTGTCCAGTGCCAGCTTGAAGACTGCCAGGGGTCTGTTGGTAATCCCCCTTATGTGTGCTGGGAGGCAGTTGAACAGTCTCGGGCCCCTGACACTTATTGTATGGTCTCTTAACGTGCTAGTGACACCCCTGCTTTTCATTGGGGGGATGGTGCATCGTCTGCCAAGTCTTTTGCTTCGTAGTGAGTGATTTTCGCGTGCAAGTTCGGTACTAGTCCCTCTAGGATTTTCCAGGTGTATATAATCATGTATCTCTCCCTCCTGCGTTCCAGGGAATACAGGTTTAGGAACCTCAAGCGCTCCCAGTAATTGAGGTGTTTTATCTCCGTTATGCGCGCCGTGAAAGTTCTCTGTACATTTTCTAGGTCGGCAATTTCACCTGCCTTGAAAGGTGCTGTTAGTGTGCAGCAATATTCCAGCCTAGATAGAACAAGTGACCTGAAAAGTGTCATCATGGGCTTGGCCTCCCTAGTTTTGAAGGTTCTCATTATCCATCCTGTCATTTTTCTAGCAGATACGATTGATACAATGTTATGGTCCTTGAAGGTGAGATCCTCCGACATGATCACTCCCAGGTCTTTGACGTTGGTGTTTCGCTCTAAACTTACTAAATCAACACCTAATCAACCTTCTACATTTCACACCAAAAAAAATGATATTCTTCTCACAGACATTATTTTTTCCTAGACAAACAGGACAAAACAAAAGAAATAACCCCCATGCAAGAGGTTAATGTGTGGCAGACTTCCACAGACACTGGAAGATGTTCCGGGGGTCAACGGCGCGATCCACGAACAGGCTTCGCGGTGCATCAGGGACTGATCAACCAGGCTGTTGCTACCGGTCGCACGCAGACCAATGTACGAATCACAGCCCGGCTGGACAAATACTGACTTTATGTGCCTGTCAGGTCCCTCTTGAAAATAGATAGTGGTTCTGATTTGTACGATTTCAGTCTGACTTCTCTAATATCGTACATAGTGTATGGAAACATAAACACATATGCAGTTTAATGTGATCCTTTACTGACAACGTTTCGCCCACACAGTGGGCTTTTTCAAGTCACAAACAGATCTGTTTGTGACTTGGAAAAGCCCGCTGTATGGGCGAAACGTTGTCAATAAAGGATCACATTAAACTGCATATGTGTTTATGTTTCCATTGTGTCGGTATTTTATACCATTTATTTTCACATAGTGTATATATATTGGTGAGGAAATAGATAGGTAAAGAAATCTACCCTTGCTTGTTTACCTTGCTTTTTTTTCTGCCCTGCTGAGCGCTTTTTTGCTTAGAACCAGAAAGTGCTATAGGCCAGTAGACTACCACCTGTTTCTAATAAACAGTAAGATCAGAAAGAATATAGGTTACGGACACCTAGGAACCTGAAAGTGTTAATGTTAGTGATTTTTTTGTTAATCTTACAGGCTAGGAGCCGAATATCCAATCTCAGTTCTTTTCCTAACCCAGTCATATCTAAGATTTACCCTCAATACATGTGTTCACGTCTACAACTGCTGCATCTTCACTTCTTCCACTTACCCCACTATAAAAGGCGCCGTCCTCATGACACCATAATGGTTATAATCATAACCATGATTTTTAAAGAGGTGGACCGATAAGCCAGCGGAAGTCCTCGGTCAGATGACCAAAAGCTCCAGCTGTGGGTCATCATATGTGCCTAAATCTGGAGGAACAATGTGTGCCTAAGGCCCCATGTCAGGAAACACTTGTTCTGCTTCCTGACAAGCATTATACCTACCTACCTACGACACTATATTAGATAGATAACCTGTTATGCAGGCGAGACGTCTATAAGCACAGATACCCAGGTGTTTACCTGGAGAGAGTTCCGGGGGTCAACGCCCCCGCTGCCCGGTCTGTGACCAGGCCTCCTGGTGGATCAGAGCCTGATCAACCAGGCTGTTACTGCTGACTGCACGCAATCCAATGTACGAGCCACAGCCCGGCTGGTCAGCTACCGACTTTAAGTGTTGCATGTCTTTTTCATCACCCCAGGTTTGTAATTACTATCCCTAAACTTACTCAGAACTTAAATATGCGCGCGAGCGACTCGGAACGTTCACTGGACGTGAGGACAATTTATTAATACCGTGAATGTGGAGTCAAACTCAGTTTAATATCTTCATTTATATACCTCCATAACCATCCTTGGGGGGGATAATCAAAGATCACACAGACCCACAATGGGTTCAGGGACTGGATCCCACCATTTGTAAGCATGTTGCAGTGTTAATGGACCATTTTTTTGTGAAGTCAGAGCAGGTCCATTCGTCTTCCCTCACTCAGTAAACGCTAAAGCACAGCCTGGTGTGGGTGTGTACGCTTCACAGGTGGCTTCGAAAACCATGTTGATCACCTTGGCGATATTTTGCGCCATTGTGGCCAATATACCGGGTATTTTGGGAGTGAAGTACGTCGATCTAGGCCACAGTGTGAGCGAGGTGTCCATGGTGTGGCCTGGGACCTCACCTTTCACCAGTGAGACAGTGAAAATTGGCAGCATGGGTTTCTGGTAGGTAGAAACATAGGTAAATGTACGTTATACATGACTATATACTTTAGGATATATGTAGCTTGTGTATATAAACTTGTGTATCCCATGTTCATATACACTAAAGTATATATCGTCTATATATACAGGTGTATCATGTATATACATTGAGAGTTATCTTCTGTATACACAATATAAGGTCTCTTAGTGCATATACACTGAAGCGTATTTCATTGTCAGTATATACAAAGGTATATATTTCTCCGTTTATATCCACTATATTTATAAATACAAAGATGTGTATAGATGTATATCCATCGAAATATACATTAATCCCTTAAACAAGGATTTAAATAGTCATCTTAATTTACAGGTGAGATGTTTTAATGCCTCGCAGAGCCCATATGTTTTAAATAAACAAACCCAACAAACTGTAGGTACATGTGCATTTCATTATATATAATATATATATATATAATATTATATATATATATATATATATATATATATATATATATATATATATATATATATATATATATATATATATATATATATATATATATATATATATATATTGTATTCTGAGCACCTCTGCAAAAACAGTGATAATGTGTGAGTGTGGTGAAAGTGTTGAATAATGATGAAAGTATTTTCTTTTTGGGGA